ACGCCATGTCCAAGTCGGTAGAACTTGAAGAAACGACTCTGGTGCGTGTTGCCGCCATCCAACGACCTCGATCTCTTGTTTATTGATTGGGAGCGGTCTTGGGGGGGGGGAATATTAGATGATCGAGAGGGTCGTAGGCGAGCTGATGGATGTGCACCCCGACCTGCGCGTCAAAGAAGCAGCACTGCGCTGGCTGCGTCATGGCAGTGTGCCAGATTCCGACCTCTTCCGCATGGTAACTCCTACTGGACTCCCCCACCTCCTGGCTATGGCCTGCAGCACTTACACCAACTACCGACCACAGCGCGTTCTCGAATTGGCGGCCGACTCTCCCACCCGAATCCGAGTGCTTGCCTTACAGGTCCTGCCATGGATTGTGGGGCCTGAGTTGGCGCTAGAGGTCGTCATCGAAACTGCCTTTGCTGCCGTTATGGTACCCCCCCCCGCCGCCGCCGCCGCCAATAGCTCTGTGCGGTGGTCCGGACTGGATGGGTTTTTACTGGAGTATTTTTTGCCACACTCGCTCAGGATAATGACATCATGGTCGCCACTGAGGGATGCAAGGTGCTTGGTCACTACAGTGTCCTCAACGACGAGCCTGCTTCGCGTGAGATTGATGCCTACGCTCACAGGTATGGAAGCATAGAGCGCGAACAAACATTGCCCCCACTTTTGTATCACACACACTGTGAAACAGTCATGTGATGGCGCTGACGTTTCATCAACAGGGCGGACTTGCTGGTCAAGACTACTGTGCGAAGGCGGCCTCCGGTGGCCAGTCTCCTGGCGCTTGCCGCCAAGTGTGTGGCAGCACATTGGGAGCCTGCTCTTCTGCAGGGTGCCCTACCCGCTGAACTGCACGCGCTCGTGCAAGACACATCGTCAGCGGCCCAAGCCCAAGGTGCCTCCTTGTGTTCACTTAGGGTAAGGTGAGGCCACCCACACAATCAGAGGACTCACTCAACCTTGTCTCGCAGGTTCAAGGCTAGACGAACTGCAAAAGGCGGCGAAGGCCACCCTCCTGCGCCTGGGTGGAGTCATACCTGCGTTGTACGACCACGTGGTCCCGTATGTCGTGTCGATGCTGTGCCCGGACCATCAGTGGCAGTTGCGGTACCACCATGCTCCAGAAATATCATAGTGTGCCCAGATGGCTCACATGTACGATAACACACACACACACACACACACACACACACACACACACACACACACACACACACGTCTTATACAGGGAAGGCGGATTGCTGGTCTTGGGATGCATGATGCGAAAGTGGACTGAGCTGCATAGTGGATATGCAGACCTGCACCTGTCAGTCATCTCCTCGCTCACCGATCCGGAGGTCCTCTCTCCATTTTCCATTCTAGACTCTCTCTCTCTCTCGCTCGCTCGCTCGCTCGCTCGCTCACACAAGCCACAGGCGCGAATACGGAGGAGGGCTGCATGGGTGGCAGACGCCAGCCTGCGCTGGCTCGACGAGGCCACGCAAAAAGAGGCCATTTCGCTCTTGGTGCCTCTGCTGCACGACCCGGACCATAAGGTTCAAGGTGCAGCGTACAAGGCCCTCCGAAGGTTGCATGACCTGCCTAGGCCTAGGCCTAGGCCTGTGGTCAAGACGATTATCGAGGGCTGCCTCAACCACCTGCAACACAGCGCCCTCCCGTGGGTAACTCTCTCGCACTGCCTCCCGGGTGGCGGCCTTATTATGAATTATTGATGTATACTGATTTATTTATTTATTTATTTATTTATTTATTTATTCTACAAGGCCTCACGTACATGCCGTGTGTGTTTGCCAGGGCTGCCAGGATGAGCTGACGCTGCTCACCTTGGCCCATTGGATTCCTGACTTTGTGCGAGGAGACGACGATGTGCACGACACAGATGTGGTCGCGGGGTGCATGCGGGTGCTCTTGGAGGCTGTTGCCGGATTGTTGAAGCCCTCACTATCTGCGATGCAAGCAGTGAACCACGTTTGCGCGTGTACGTTTCTTTGTCTCTCCCAGGAGCAGAGAGGGGGGTAACCCCGAGTCCATCATTCTAAACGGACTAAAGGGACTGTCTATGGCGGCGTGCAGCTCCGGGCTACAGGTGCGTTGTAGACGGGGAGCAGCTGATCATTGCCTGCGAAAGGCATTTCGAAGCGACGTCAGCCGTGGTATGGCTCGCCCCCCATACAACTCATCGTTCCCTGTGCACTGAATGTCAGTTGCTCTCTCTCTCTCTCTCCTGTGCGCCACACAGTTCCTGGCTGGCCTTGGTGCCCTATGTAGCTTGCTGGAGCATGGCCTCGTCAGTCTCGAGCCTGACAGAGCGACCAAGTGGATCCTATTCGCTGTGGACACGCTCCAGGTATCGCCCCCATCCTTCCCAGAACTTCACCATTCACCCCTGGGCTAATTCTTCGTGTGTGTGTGTGTGTGTGTGTGTGTGTGTGTGTGTGTGTGTGTGTGTGTGTGTCATGGTGTTCAGTTAAACAGTCTGCCCGGCCTCAGTGCGCTCTACTGCTTCATCAAGAGGTATCCCGAGTGTGTCACTGCGCAACTCTCCCTCGTCGTTCCCGCGCTCATGACGAGGCCACTGGCGTACAACTTGCAAGAGTCCATGTACGGCTTCTGCATGTGCATCGGTACGTGTGACACGCAGGAGGCTCCTTTCGTCTTCTATCATCCATTTCTTTTGGCTGAAGGTTGGTCTTTCCCCACTGCTGCAGATGCGCTGACCACGCACTGCACAGAGGGCGTGCGCGCGTGGGTCACAAGCCTCTCTTCGTTTCTCGTTCGCCACAACTACAGCATGCCCCAGCATATGGCGCTGCGTTGCTGCGTGCAGTTGGCCCAGTGTGGCGCGGCCGACCTCGACCCGGGAGTCTTCGCCCTGCTGACCGAACTCAACGGGGGCACGCTCCACGCCATCACCGCCTCGGTCTCGGGCATCGAGCACACGTTTCGGCCCACCACGGAGGGCCTCGCCAACCTGCTGCTCGAGTCTCTGGCCGCACGCAAAGCTCATTTGGCAGCACCTGCGTTCGACCTGTGCGCACGCGAAATTCCCTCACCACAGGCCGCGCTCGGCCTGTTCATGCTCTTCGCCGACCACCTGCAGCGCCGCACGAGAGCCTACCAGCGCCTGCAGACCAGCATCAGCCAACAGCAGCACACAGGCGCGGATGCACGAGGGCTGCCGCAGGTGGAAGAGAACAGATGCTGTCCCTACGGCCAGGACGACAGCAAGGAGCTGCGAGACAAGGTGCAGCGGGTGCTGCATGAGCTCGCGGCTCGCATCGGCGAGAGGCTGCTCCGGGAGCAGAAGCGAAGGCTGCAGCGCCATGCTGGTGGCCTCCGCCGCTATCTGCACGCCGAAAGCCCGCTCCTCGCCCTCCTCGAGGCCTGACCGCCGTATGTGCAGTGTGTGATGTGATGGACTGGCTGTTGCCAAACCGGGTTGACTGTAAAACGGCCCAGACGCTGGGAGGAGTGCGATCCTTGGGCCAGGTAAAGACGAAGACGTGGTGGAAAACGCGCTGTTGGTTCAATAATTGAGGCACTGTGGGTGTGTGCGGAGAATACATGGGTATGTGGGGGGGCAGAGCAGATCTCGTGCAGCTCCCCGCAGCGAGGAAGGGTGAAGGAGGAGAGAGAGAGTAGATACAGGCTGGTGTGGTCGGACGTCGCCGCTTAGGCGAAGAGGACGCCAGCGGAGATACCGACGCAGAGCAGGGCGGTGAAGAGAGCCAGTTGGGGATCTTGAAGCGGCCGAGCTCCTTCTTCTCGTCGGAGGGCTTGTACTCGTTGATGAGGAGCTCGTAGAGGGACATGGAGACCATGGGCCAGAGCTGGATGAGGATGACGCCGGCGAAGAAGGCCGAACCGAAGGCGGCGAGGCGGTCGTCGGAGTCGGCCAGGAAGATGATGAGGCGGATGATGATGCCGAAGATGAGGAGCATGGAGACGACAACGTTGAAGTACTCGATGGCAGTGGTGCGCGTGCCCTCGCCGGTCACCTTCCAGCCGGTCAAGCCGGTGCCGAGGAACTTCTCATAGAGCGCGTCGAGGATGCCGAGGAACGCGGTGAAGGCCTGCGCGTACCAGACCTCCTGCGCCACCCAGACCGACGACGACTTGACGCCCTGGAGCGCGATCAGGTTGTTGGCCATACGCAGGCACAGGTAGGGCAGGAACACCTACACCATGGAAAAGAAAGAAAGAAAGAGTAAGCAACACAGTCCACAGTGAACTAGAAAGCCATGTAAGTAAGTAAGTAAGTACCCAGAGGAAGGAGGAGATGTCGAAGGGGTCGTGGGGCTGGAGCGGGGGCTCGGCGAAGAAGACGAAGACGAGGGCGCAGAACATGTAGAGGAGGGCGGAGATGGCGGAGAGGGGCCAGGTCATGGTGTCGATGGCGTAGAAGGTGAGCATGAAATTGGACGGGCGCTGGTCCTTGGGGAGGCGCTTGGGGGCCTGGCCGATGCACATCTTGATGGGGGGCTCGTAGAACTGGGCCCACCAGAGCTGGATGGAGCCCTTGACCCAGCGGAGGTACTGGAGGAGACGCGAGGCGACGGTGGTCGGGGCCTCGCCGACGACGAGGGGCAGGTTGACGTAGTAGGAGACGAAGCCGTCGCGGTGGAGGCGGATCGACGTGTGGGCGTCCTCGGTCTGCGACTCGTAGGGCACGCCGCCGATGCGGAGCAGGGCGCGCTTGGCGAAGATGGCGTTGGTGCCGGCGAAGGCGCACGCGTTCTCGCCGTCGCGGCCGGGCTGAATGGCGGCGAAGAACACCTGGTTACCGTTGCCCAGCTTGTCGCCGTCGCGGATGGCGTCGCGCACGAAGATCTGCGGCGTCTGCACGAACGACAGGTTGTCGTTGATCTCCCAGTGGCGCGCCAGCTGGCCCTCGTTGTAGAACCAGGGCAGTGTGTAGAGCAGGAAGTCCGGCTCCGGCCGCATGTCGTTATCGAGGAAGATCAGGTACTGGCCCTTCTCGCGCACCTCCGTGTTGTAGAGCACGTTGTTGATGTTGCCGGCCTTGTTGTGATGCACGTTGGGCTTGATGCGCGCCACGATCTTGACGCGGTCCTTGGGCATGGTCTCGTCGTCGAACGACATGTCGGGGTAGCCGCCCCACATCTTGGGGCTCTTGTGGTGGATCTCGTCGCCGTCGTCGTCGTAGCCCTCGCCGTCCTCGTCCTCGCCGTAGATGACCTCGATGGTGCGCTCGCGCTCCTGGCGCGAGAGAGCCTGCTTCTTCTTCTTCTCGGGGTTGCGGAGCTCGAAGGTCACAGAGAGCGAGCCGCGGGCGCAGTCCTCGCGGAACATCTCCTCCTTGAAGTGGAGCACGGGGATGACGGCGCCGCCGAGGTAGACCTCGACCACCTCCATCACGCGGTACACGACCTCGCGGCCGATGTCGCTGGGCTCGAAGTCGTAGGGGATGCCGTTGAAGTCCTTGCCGAGGCCCAGGTGCTTCAGGATGCGGCGGTTCTTCTCGTAGATCTTGCGCACGCGGTCGCTCATGGGCTCCAGCAGGCAGCCCATCTTGTCGTAGAGGCCGCCGGCCTCGGCCGCCAGCTTCTCGACGTCGTCGTGGAAGCCGAACGAGTAGGGCTTCTTGGCGTCGTCGACGCTGCTGGTCTCGCTGCTCACGTCCACCTCCTCGCCGTCGTTGTCGGTGGCCTCCCCGTCGGAGGAGGTCTTGGTGCCGGCGCCCCTCTTGCGGGCCTCGTCCTGGAGGGCCTGGAGGGCCTCAGGGAGCGGGTAGAACAGCGGGTCGAACTCGGGGAACGGGTAGCTGTCGATGTCGGCCTGGGTGATGGTGTTGTCGGTGTAGTTCTCGCCAAAGTCGTCCTCCTCGTCGTAGTAGGAGGACTCGTCGAAGAACTCGTCGACCTCATCCTCGACCTTCTTGCCCTCCTCGCCGTCGGCGCCGTCGGTGGCCGAGTCGTCCTTCTTCTTCTGCTCCTTGGCCTTGCCGCTGCAGCAGGCGAGGGAGCAGGGGAGCGGGCAGCGCTTGCCGCCCATGCACCACTGAGCCTTGCGCTTGAGCCAGGCGAGGGCCTTGGCAGTCTTGGCCTTGGCGCCGGGCTTGGCGGGCTGCTCGCCGCGGGCCTCGAGCTCGGCGAGGATGAGCTTGCGCACGGTGTCGAGCGCTTCTGGCCGAACGAGTCGTCGCAGATGCGGTGGGTGAGGTGCACGTTGGGCAGGCGCTTCATGAGGAGGCAGCCCTCGAGGGTCTTCTGCGTGGTGTTGGGGTCCTCCTTGTAGTGGAAGATGAGCGAGTCGACGCGCACGCGGTCGACGGTCTCGACGAAGCCCTCGAGCGCGTAGAGGCTCTTGCGCTTGCGCACGGTGGGCGTCCAGAAGTTGAGGTTGTAGATGATGCCCAGCACGTAGTTGACCGTCTCGGCCACGACGTAGGCGAACCACGAGATCACGGCCACGAAGGTGTCCCAGTTGCGGCCCCATCCGATGAGCCACACGAGCCAGAACATGCCCCACGCCGCGATGAACAGACCCAGCACGCGCGTGGCCAGGATCTTGACGGCCGGCACCACCTTGTCCGGCGTGCCGCGCTTCCAGTCGATCACGCCCGGCGGCGGCTTGCGCTTCTCCTCCTCCTCAGCCACCTCGTCGCGGAGGAGCCACTCGCGCTGCTTGTTGAACATTTCAAACTTGTTCTGGAGCACCTCGATGCGGTCCTCCTCGCGCAGCTTGTCCTCGGCGATACGCATGCGTTGCGTGGCGCCGGCCGACGAATCGTCGTCATCGACCGACGCATAGGAGCCCGACAGGCCGGCGGTCCTCTCCTCTGAGTCGTCGAGATACTCGCCGTCGTCGTCGTAGTCAACGTTGGCGTCGTCCACGACCACCGAGTCGTCGTCGTTGCTCTCCGAGTCGCTCACGCTCTTGCTGGCCGTGTCGACACCCTTGTCCTTGTTCTTGCTCTTCTTGCTCTTCTTGAGCAGGCGCTTCTTCTCGCGCTCCTCGCGGTCGGGGCGGAAGCGGATGCGCAGGCCGAAGCCGTCCTGGCTAAAGGCCGTGCAGTGGAGCTTGCGGTTGATCCAGGGGATCACGACGAAGAGCAGCATGGGGATGGCCACCAGGGCGGCCATGATGCCCCCGAAGACGTAGACGTCGGTCTGGTCCTCCGGCGTGGCCAGCTCGCTGCACTCGGCGTCGGCCGTCTCAGGGATGAACTTGACCCACGGGATCAGCGCCTTACGCCTCATCTATATGCGCAGGGTATGCAGGACAAAAGAGGTGAGCATTGTCCATCTATGCCTGCACGTGCAGGTAGAACCTGCGGGATGCTGGAGGGAGGCGACGTACGTCGGAGGGCAGGGCGCTCCAGCAGCTGGGGCTCATGGCCAGGAGGGCCGCACCGGAGAGGGCGAAGACGAGGCGAATGAACCATCCCGAGGGCGAACGGCTCACGGCGACGCCAGCAAAGAGGAGGCCCACGGTGAGAGTGATCAGCTTGCCCCCTGCCGGGAAAATAAAAAGAAAGGTTTCGTCAGTCCTATTTTCTTTCCCTTCTTTTCTCGCGGAGTTTGATTGTGTGCAGGACGAGAGACGAGAGACCGGGGCGGACGTACAGGCATGCTCGTCTTGGGTGTCGAAGATGTTGTGGAGGCCTGCTTCGAGGAGCATTCCGAGCAGCATGCCGACGAAGAGGCCGTAGGCGAGCATGAGGAAGCGGAAGAAGAGCAGGCCGATCAGGGCCACGAGCGCGCCAACGGGGATGGCGGCGGCGATGTAGGCCGTGTTGAAGTCGATGTCGATGTTGTGGATGAGCACCCGGATGGTGATGGTCGCTCCGAGGAGGACGCATGAGAGGAAGAACTGGAAGTAGTTGAAGAGTGTGAGGAGAGCCTGCCTCTTGGGCGTGTTCTTTCCGACGCGCGGAATGGACGACAGGTAGGGCAGGCCGAAGAGGATCAGTAGCGTGCCCAGAGAAGCCGTGATGACTCCTTCGAGGTACTGATTGAACGCCATGGCCACGTCGCGACCTGGTGACGGTGCTGTACTGCTACTGCTTGGTCCTTGGAAGAGTTTTCCGCGAGTGCTGCTTGCTTAGAGGGCGTGCGGCGAGTGAGTGAGAAGAGAGCTCTATCGGCAAGGGGAGGGTATAAGGGGCAGCTTCGAACTGGACCCGGTGAGTATGAGGCGACGAGTGCTGTAAACAATGGTTGGGCCTCAAAGGGGCCGGCCTTGTTTTCAAGGTCGGTGGGGCGCACGCTTGGCCCTTTTACCTGGCTTCAATTCGATGAGATTTCGGCCGAGTTGGTAAGTCGACCGTTCTGCCATTGGCCGAAGTTTTATTTTCCCCCACTTTGCTGCCGCCACTCTCGATCGATCTCCCTGGTCGGCAGATCATCCGCTTGTCCTGCGCCGCGCTATCTGCCCTCTTCCTCGTCGTTTGTGTTCGCCACCCACACTTCGTCACACGGTGCCCACTCGTGAGCCAAAGACGATCGAATTCGGTGGAGATTTGATGCGCGAGTGTGACGTTTTTTGGAATGTTAGGAATCCCCAAGCGAAGGAATGCGACAAGAATGACGGCCGGTTCCCGCGAGCTGGCCAGCCACCTTAAAGTGGGGGCCTTTTCTCGACCTTTTCGTGGGCAGAAAAAACCTGGAATGGCGCTTTCTCCGTCCGGCCAGAGCGCTGCCAACGGTTCCTTCTGGTTCGACGCTGCGATCGCAATCAATCCCTCTCTCAATCAACGCTTCCCCTCTCACATTCAACATGGCCGAGCCTTTTGACGTCAACGAGCTTGCTGATTACTCTGATGGAGAGCTGGAGCAAGAGGAACAGGAGACGTTGGAGGCGGGAGCCAAGTCGGACGAGGCCAAGACGTACGTTTCATTCATTCATTCACCACAATCATCCATTCATTCCTGGCCACCACAAAAGAAGCAATGAGTGAAGGAGAAATTGACACACTGCGGTGTGTGTGTTGTTGAATGTCTCAGGTCGGCGGATACCCACAGCACGGTTCACACTGCTTCGTTCAAGGATTTCCTCCTGAAGCCCGAACTCTTGCGCGCCATCACCGACTGCGGTTTCGAGCACCCCTCGCAGGTGCAGTTCGAGGTCATCCCGCAGGCGATCCTCGGCACGGACGTCATCTGCCAGGCCAACTCGGGCATGGGTAAGACCGCCGTGTTCGTGCTCTCGGTCCTGCAGCAGATCTCGGCCGAAGACGGCACCAGCTGCCTCATTCTGGCGCATACGCGCGAGCTGGCGTACCAGATCTCGCACGAGTACGTAACGCGTCCTTTGCGATGATACGACGTCTAATAATCATCGGGTGGGTAGTACTAAACAAAAGCGAAATCGAACAAACCGATCCGTTTCACCTGCAGGTTCGGCCGTTTCACCAAGTACATGCCGAACATCAAGGCGTCCGTGTTCTTCGGTGGTCTGCCCATCGTTCAGGACAGGGCTACGCTCAAGAAGGATCCCCCGCACATTGTGATCGGTACTCCTGGTCGTATCCTCGCTCTGGCCAACGAGAAGGCTCTCGATCTCAAGAAGATCAAGTTCTTCGTCCTCGATGAGTGCGACTCGCTCCTCGAGCCCATCGGTACTACTTTATTCCCCTCCCCCAAAGCACCAAAAGCCGTTCGCCAAATTCGCCTACTCATGGCTGTCTTCCCTATTCGCGATTCAGACATGCGCGCTGATGTTCAGAAGATCTTCCGTCTGACTCCCCACAACAAGCAAGTCATGATGTTCTCGGCCACGCTCAACGACGAGATCCGCGCCGTCTGCAAGAAGTTCATGCACAACGTACCTTCCCATAACATCCATCTCATTCTTTCCACCTGCTGCCGATGACCGCCCCGCGAAATCATCGCGTCATCGACATCATCACCATCATCATCCACACACTTCTCTCTGCCGCGAGACGACATCACTCCCGCCCATCGCCCAGCCCACACGGCCTGGCGCGGCGACGGAAGTCCGGACACGAATTATGGGCGTGGCGGCCCCCCTGCAGCTGAAAATTTCTCTCGGAGACAGCGCGCGAGGAGGAAGGAGGCGCTAAAAAGAGGAGGACAGAGGGGGAGGAGAAGGAGGACATAATGGCAATTTGTGGTGGAGCCACGCGGCGTCTGTCTAAGGACGGAGCTGCGGCCGGTGCAAATCATCCGCTCATCGAGAAGGGCGACCAAGGCTTCCCCCGGCCAAGAGCTCTCTCTCTCTCTCTCTCTCTCGAGACGGAAACCGTTCCTCTTCTGGGCAGCAAAGCGGCTAAGCTTCGAACTTCAGCACGGCGCGCGAAGCTTGGTTCTTTCTACTCTTCTCTCTTCTTTATCTCCTCTTCTCTTTCATCCAACCTATTGCCCATCGCGCGAGAACAGCACAGAACCCTACGCATCAGAGAGATCTCTAACGCACTGCTCCTCTACCACACACGTCTAGCCGCTCGAAATCTACATCAGCGCCGGCAGCAAGTTGACCCTCCACGGCCTCAACCAGTACTACGTCCAGCTCGAGGAGCGAGAGAAGACCCGCAAGCTCGTCGACCTTCTGGACACTCTCGAGTTCAACCAGTGCGTCGTCTTCGTGAGCTCTGTCAAGCGGGCCGCCGAGCTGAACAAGATCCTCGTCGAGCAGAACTTCCCCTCGATCGCCATCTACCGTGGCATGCAGCAGAAGGAGAGGTACGGCATCATTCAAGTCAAGCCCTGTCTTTCGTTCCTTCGTGCAAACTTAGGCTGACATCAACTCATCGTCCCCCCCCCCTGAAGAATTGAGAAGTTCGCCCAGTTCAAGAGTCTGCGTGCCCGTATCGTGGTCGCCACCAACCTTCTGGGTCGCGGTATCGACGTGGAGCGCATCAACGTCGTGATCAACTACGACATGCCCGGTGAGGCCGACACCTACCTCCACAGGGTGGGCCGTGCTGGTCGTTTCGGTACCAAGGGTCTGGCGATCTCGTTCGTGTCCACCAAGGAGGACGGCGAGGTGCTCAACAAGGTGCAGAGCCTCTTCGTTGTGAACATCCCCGACCTCAAGCCCGGCGTGGAGATCCCCAAGTCCTCCTACAGTATGGCCCTTCCCCATCCCGCCATCATCACTTCACCACTCGACGTGCGAGCTCTCAGCCGTATGAACAGTTTGTTTACTCTGCTTGTTTCTTCTTGCGCAGTGCAAGCCTAAGTTTCCGCCCTCGACCGATGAGTATCCTCGACGGAGGCCGATGGCTCTCGGTGCAGTCGCAACCAACTGCAGCCTGCAACCACTTCACACACGCATCATCCACAACAACACAATAAACCGCGCTCTTCGACCGAACTAGCACCAAACAACTCCTTTTACCTCGAAGCTGAACGTTCACACGTGAATGTAGCCATTGCCCCAGAGGAAGACGACCACGTTGGAGAGGATGAGGAATATGAGGATGGGCATGAGCCACCGCCCCGCGCCCGACGTGCCTGAGCGCGACAGTCCAGTGGGGGAGGAAGGTGGTGAGCAAGGCTGTGGTCAAGGCACGCATGCGTGATCACACTTAGTAGTACTGGAGGGGAGGAGTCGCACCTCCCGTGAAGTTGGGGTCGACTCGCTCGAGGGCGTTCCAGCCGTAGGTGGCGCCCAAGTAGTCCTCTCGCACGCGCAGCGCCTCCTTCCTTCTGGTGCCTTGACTGGGGCTTCTCGTCACTCTTCTTCTCGCTCCAGTACTTACTCAACTCCAGGATCTCAATCGGCCCTGGTGTGCGATGGTGCGTGCGATGTGGTGT